ATTAGCTTCACTGCGTTTGTCGTTACCTCCTTTGCTTCTACTTAGTTCCGAATAACGCAGTCTATAGTTATCAACAAGCTCAAATCCTACTTTTGCTTACTTTTAGCCATATCTTCTTTTAAACGTGGATATGAAGAAGAAGCTTTTGCCGCCTTTATTTTAATCGCAGTCTCCTTTCGTTGTATATAATTGGTTTAACCTCGTTTTCGCAACTTGGTCATATTGTCAAGGCGACTTAGTTGGACACACCTCGTCCTAAATTCGTTGCTATAAAAGTTATCATAATTCTCAGCGTCGGACCGTGGGTTTGGTACATTTCCAGACTTTTTGCCAGCATTGTCAGTGAATCTTGTCATTTTCAGCACCAATCTACAATTCATCAGGGGCAAGTGAAGTCAAACCCTTGATCAGCCTTCTGCTAAATAGTTATGCTATCACTCCTCTTATTGCCTTAGCCTCTATCTACTCTATACCCTATCTCACTCTCATCGTGTCACAACTTCTGACTTGTTTATATTTCACTCATTTTTCGTATTTGAGTAGAGTATTGAGACTACCAGTAAATCAGTAATATAAAATGAATTCACCCAATTTCGTTTAAGGTGATGAAGGACAGGTAGAAGAATTTTCCCACAATGATATGAGTGGAGGTGACGTTTCCACTGAATTTCACCATTAAAGAATGTGATATGGGAAAAGGTCTGGTCTTCCTTGAAATTCACATCTGCCCTGTGACCTAAGGGCACTCGTGGCAATGTGGTCGAGTGGTTAACGTGTCAAGCTCCCATTCTGAATTGTCACGATTCGACTCCCGGGGGGGGGGGTTGTTGCAAAGTCGAGACATCATTCCATCCTGGATAAGAAAAACTTTTGCGAAAGCAAGGCAATGTGAAATTGAATGGAAACGTCACCTCTACTCATATCATTGAGGGAAAATTCTACTACCAGTCCTTCGTCACCTTAAATGAAATACGGTGATTTCATCTCATATTATATTTAACTCCTCAAAAAGTGTGTCCTTTTTGACGATTTTGCTGTGGTGTCATCAGACCCGTTGCTTACATCTTCTTCTCTATTTGTTGATCGGACTTCGGTCTCCTACCCGATCTTTTTCCTGGGCCCTTCAGATCCGTTTCTTATCTTTCAAGTTGACTGATTTCACCCGGTTCCAGTCGAGCATACGGTTCGCTGCTCTCACCTCTTTTGGCAAATGTATACATAAACAAATTAGAAGAGAATTTCGAGACGTCATCGCAGCAATAACGAGTGCTGATGCGGTACCTGGATCACTACTTCGCACTCTGTTCACATGGAAGAGAAAAACTGGAAGATTTCCTGAACTTTATAAACCATATTAATGAAAGAATCAAACTCATAATGGAAGTAGAGTAGGAGGAGCCATTACCTTTTCTGGATGTTAAAGTCATTCGCTCGAACGGAACGCTCACGAGGAAATTGTTCAGAAGAAAGTCATATGCCTGAATAATACTCAATTTCCAGTCCCATCCCAAATCCAGGCTAAAGAAAAAAGTAATCAGGAGCATGATCACCGGAAGCCTTTAGCGTGTCGTAGCTTAGTCCTGAGAATGACAAGACTCATGATTCAACTTTAGAGGATCGTACACTAATTTATTTGTGTAAGGAAACAGCCGCCACCAAACGTATTTTCGTTTCGGGAATTAAGTTGCCTCATTTGCAAGCATTTACATGGTTGAAGTAGCCAACCAAATCATGAGATGCCTCAGTAAGATCGCTAAATTAGGTGTATAAATAAGCGACTGGGGTTGCAGCCGTCCAGCTTTTCTCTTGGTTTTCCTTTTTTGAAAGTGAGGCTGTGAAATTAAATTGAAACGTCAGCTCTATCCATATCATTGTTTGAAAATTCAACTATCAGTCCTTCATCACCTTAAACGAAATAGGGTGAGCTCAACTCTAATATGGATACCTGCTCTGATGAGATCTATCAAAGTACAGATGAAAGCCTGCCACATTTTAATCGGGGTCGCAGGACGGTAAGCCAAGAATTTCTTCCCACGATTTAACAGTCCTTCCTCCTTCGGTCTTCGATGGGACCAGATCACGAATTCCTTCCAACCAACTATTCCTTTGAAATGGAAACTCATGCCACAATCACACTATAGAATGAGGTTTTGGAGAGGTTTCGGATGTCTGTAATTTACTGGCACCCGTGGCTGTATAATTGAGTGGTAGCGTAACCACTTTACTCACGACTTGTCAATTCCCATTGGTGGTGCTGATGAGACCTAGGCGTTGTCGAAACTGTAGTCCATTCGGAACAATAAATCCTTATGGGCGGCAAGATTAAGTAAATTTAAATGACATCGTGAGGCCTCATTTCATTGTAGGTAATCTCAAATTTCGGTCCTTCATCTTATGCTGCCAGGAATGATTAACTTCTTATTCAATCATTACCGATAGTCTCGAAATCTACCTGTTTCGAAAATAGATCAGTTCACTCTTTTGCGGTTATCATTATATTCATTAAAAGTTTTGCCTTTTCAGCGAATGAAACCACTATCCCTTGAAGTATCCAGTTTATTTTTGCTTGGTTCCGTAATCAACCCCAGCCCAGCCTCGCCTAGCTCCCAAAGCCTGGCCTTTCCTGGGGCTTGGGCCCTTGAAACGAGGTTACTGCGACTTGCACTTCTCCGCCTGCTTGCTGAGCCACCAGCTGACCTACCAGTTGAGACTTCTCTTCTCATCATGCTGAAAAGCCAGCCAAGACTCGAGGTAGCTTAGATTCTGACGTTGTTAAGTGTAGTCTCTGGCCTTCAGTTACTATGTGGCCTGTTACTAGTTCATATTTGATTTGCTTTTTCAACTTATCTTTTGCTCAGCACCAAGACTATATTGTCCTATGGGCACTTGTTTTAAGCTCTTATTAATTAAGACTGCTATGATCTTCGGATCACCTACTTCTATCTTTGATAGATCCGTGATGCTAGTTCGTCCTTTACGTAGAAAACATCTTCAAAACCTCTTTATGGCTTCGAAGATAGCATTATTTCTTAGACCAAACCTGAAACCAAGTCGTCTTGGTTCTCATATCTACGACCTGAAAGTGTTTCTAACATCATGACTTGATTGCGACATGAAATAAAGCCTTTTTCTGTTTGTAATACTGCCATTTTGTGATTTATTCATGGCCATTTTTTTTAGATATTCTTTTTATCCCAACCTCTCTGCCACCTAGTTCTGCGCTATTCAGCTCTACTGTCTCTGTCTGCTCCTTTCACTCGGCATTCGGTTCTCACCCCGCCGCCCAATCTCTGATTTTACTTCAAATGGGCTTTGTGGAGACCTGGCAGGCGAATCTTCTTCGTCATCTTTACCGCCGCAAAAGTTCGAGACATCATTTCTTTGTCCCCAGGGCTTCAGGGATACTGAAGACGACGACATACTTAGTTTCTTTTGTGAAGAAGAAGAGGTTGAATTAGAGACAGATGAATTTGATGATTCTGGCTTAGTTGAGACTCTTGAACAAGAGCAATATAAAATGTTCTATGCTAACGAGCCCTACTCCGAGCTTTGTTGTCCCTTGGGCACTTGCAATCGCCTAATCGACTCCTGTCAGACCCATACCTGTTCTGGTCTCCTGTCTCGTACCAACACAAGGCTGTCGGGTGGCGAGGGCTCGGCCAGTCCCTTTTGGCAGCTCAATTTCCACATTCTGGCACCTGGCCTCTTGGCCTGGATATCAGACCTGCTTGTTGGCGATTTTCCAAGCGTTGAGTTA